TGCCTTTCCGGGAAATGCCGGGCGGGCACAGCAGCCCCAGAGCCGGTGCCAGGCTCCAGGCGCAGTTTCCCCGGTGAGCTGAGCGGGCTGTGAGCCGCAGCGGCCACGCTGCCCCTTTGGCTGCGCACATGGAACGGCGCGGGCTGCTGGCGAAGGCTGCTAACACGGCCCAGCAGACAGACAGACAGACAGACAGACCTGAGCCCTGCCGTCAGCTTCACCTATGCTGCATGTGTCGAGGCGCAGCGATGCCTTCCCCGACCGTGTCCAGCGGCAGTATTTCCTTCTGAGAAATCACCGCACTGAACCGCAGGGCTTTACGTGTCTGAGCAGGTCTGAAGGTGCCTTAGGGAACCGTCACCCTGCAGAAGGGCGCTGTGCTGGGCTGCCACACCCGGGACAGGACAGAACAAGAGAAACAAGAGTGTTTCTCTTCGTGTTAGAGAAGAAATTGGCCTTTACTCCAACACAAGTCCAGTCAGCGTTCAAGCATGTAATAAACTCTGAAAAACTTGTGGATAGCCCGCTGCAAGGAAATATCGATCTCTAACTAAAGCAGACAAAACATTGATAAGTAGCCCTGCCGGTCCAAGTTAATCCATGTGATTCTGTAGCACGAGTATTTAGTACTAACAGATTTTAAAAATTATTTTCTAGCTGAGCCAATTGTGAGGAAGGAACTTCATAACCTGCCTGATGAGTCAGTTTTCATCTACTGTCTAGTTGGAGATAGAGCCTAGTAAGTACCTTTGAATGCTGACAAATGGGATTACTTTGTTCTGTTGGTGGACTGGTGGTTAACCTGTTGAAAAAACTGACTGAGCTGTCCTTTTCTGTAAAGAGTCAATCATTTTTTGAGGTCCTCACGATCTCTGACATAATCTATCTGCATGCTTGTTTTGAGAAGGGCATTGGGAAGGTGTGAGGCAAAGGCCTTTGAATAATTTTGAAGCTATTTTCAAAATGCCTCTCTACAAGCTGTGCTTAACACCTTCTTTCTGAACAGCTGGAAGGATCCCAACAATGAATTCAGGAGGAATCTGAAACTAACAGGAGTGCCTACACTACTTAAATATGGCACAGTAAGTGATTAACGTTCTGAATCTACAGGCATTGAGATGGGCACCTGTCAGGAATTTAGGGCTGAATGAATTAGTCACTTGTATTCTCTGAGAACCCTCTCTTGTTCAAGGAGACCAGAGCATTCTAAACATCTCTTCTGCTCCCAGCTCCTCAAGAGAGAACCATTCTGCTCATTGTGTAATGTCTGTAATAAACATGCAGTAAAGGGAATATGTGCACTTGCCTCATGGTGCTTGAGGGGTTGAGCAACTTCTTAGCTACATATTGTTACTGTTCCTGATCTGCAGCTCCTCAGCTTTTGAAAATTCCAAACGCTGAGGCTACAGGAGTGAAACAAGTTCCAAGCACTCTGGTCAGACTGCAGCTCAAGTTGTCACTTGTACATGTTAGTTAAATTAGCAGTTACTTTCTTAGAAATGCCTCTTCCAAGGCCAGAGAACCCTCAAGAATGTTTTAGTTGTAGTTACCATTCTTGTTCCACCCCCACTACACCTCACTCCCCAGGCCAAAGTTGCTGGATGTGGCTAATGTTAGTGTGTACAAATGGCTCTCAGCCAGAACAGATTTTTTAATTATGAACGTTTTTCTTTCAGCCTCAGAAGCTGGTTGAAGAAGAATGTTTTAAATCGGAGCTTGTGCGTATGTTGTTTACTGAAGACTAAAGGCCTCACTAGTCAATCACTGATGAAGATGGTAGTCTCAACTACTGCACTGTCCTTTCAAGGAATCACTGACCTTTGTTAAAACTTTAATGATTAATTACTTTGGACTACTTAAGATAAATGTCCTGAAATTCTGGGTCCAAACCTTACACTAAAATCTTACAAGAAAAACGGTATCTTTCCTTTCATGTCCAAATAAAATTGAGTTTGTGAACAACCTATTTTCAAAGGACCTGAGCTCGTGTTAGAAACTCAGATTAGCTTGCATTTACTGAACTGTAACTACAAGTTGCACTTTCAGCGAGTAAGGAGGAAGGGGAGAAACAGAGAGCCCTCCTTCCTAAGCCTGACTACATAATAACTGAAACTGTTCAGATAAATTTTCAATGCCAAAGATGTTTAATGACTTATCTGTTCAGTCTAAGTGTGATAATGTGATGGCTGGCAGCTGTAGTGTCACTGATCCCATCTTAATGGTTAACATTTGGGAGTACCTGTTCCTACAAGGACAGGAAATACAACATGAATGCACCAGAAATAGAGTCTAAAAATATGAAAATTAAAAACCCTGGCAGCTGCCAAGAGCTATGTTCTTAGAATAAAAAACTATACAGGAATAAATGGCAAGCGCTTCTCCAATACTCCAAGCAATGGCATGTTTCCCTGCACACCCTGTTCTTGTTACATGGAGTGTAAAAAGACTCCAGAGCAGCCACTGCTGCACGGGCAGAGGCCAAGACTCAAGGAAGCTGAGCTTAACAGAACAGAGACAGCTACACCTTGTTTCCTTCTCTATCCTGCAGAGTTTATCTGCACCTATCTCTGCTCTGCTCCCCAGACCTCACCCAGTACGCTCTGATTTCTATCTGTACCACATGCTGTAAGGAAAAATAACTTCCATCAATAATGACTGCCAGGGAAACAGAAGTGATAAATAATAGCTCACCTTGGTTTGAAGGAAAAACTGCACAGTTTTGACTTTATCATTACTTCACCTTTGCTTGTCCCAGAGCTGTAAGTAGTGGGGAGTTCTCAGTACACTTTGAGACACCATTATTCTCCAGGGAAAAGGCTTCCTAGGAACAGCCTTTAGAGCTACATGAGCTACATTTCTTTGTAGGTAGTAAGTAACAAATCTAGATTTGTGTGCAAAATCAAGAGCAATCAATATCTATGGTAGTAAAGCTCTTACAAAATTGTCCACGCTATAAAATTAATTGCAGGTGTTTATTAGTCTTCAAAAGAGTTGATGAAACAAAACCCCCAGTCGCCTGATAAATTCAAATAAAAGGGACACACACCCAGAGCCAAACTTGCAAAAGGGTTTATTCATCTCCTGTAAATACTTCACTAACACAAAGTACACCTCATCACCACTACTGCATGTGCTTTTCATTTTACAGAGGTGTTGTTTTGTTGCTGCTGCTCAGCCAGTGCCTGCTGGAGGCGCATCCTTTTCCGGGAATAGTGCTGCCAGTGGAGGATCTGTTGCTCATCAATAAATTTGGCACACTGAGCATTGACCAGTTCTTTGCGGAAATGTTCATACTGGAGCAGCTCTAGCATATGCAAACATTGAGGATACCTGGGTTAAAAATAAACACGGTTTAATACAGGTTTTTACAAGGGACAAGTCAGTCCCTTTTACAAGGGACACTAAATCTAAAATTTCCAGTACTTCTGTGGGTAGTTAGTTTTGACTCGTGTGTCTTTACCCAAGTGTGAAACCACTTCAGCACGCACACTGTGAGTTGGTAACTGCAGCATCAGCCCAGGAAACAAGGAATCCAATCCCAGTAATAAATGCACATTCCTGCCTTCTTCCCCAATGGCTTGGTTTAACAGGCCAAATCCATCCATCCATCCATCCATCCATCCATCTGGCTTTACAAGGCCTGCTTCCAGAGCTGAATTAAAGATGACTGAAACCATTTTCCAAAAACGGAAGGAATTTGCACACTTGCAAAAACACAAAATCACCCTTTGCCTCACGTAAGCATCAATAATGCAAAACTGATCTTAAAATTCACTTAACTGCTTTTTTACCCTAATGTTCAATAGTTTGATTTGAAACCCATTGAAAGTGCAGATTAAGGCTTTAAAGGAAGATTCTATGCAAAACTCATGAATTCTTCATAATTTTGCCCATTGCTGCTACATGTGAACTATTGGAAACAAGAAAATCTACACTGCATATTACCATGATCTTGCATAATCTATGCTGCGGGGAAGACAAAAGTAGTGTTAGAGGCAGAAATGAAATCCTAACGTGGTATTGTACAGTGTGTAAAATGAGGTCAATGGCAAACTATTAAAATGCAGAAACTTATGGGAATTTAGCACTTACTTCAGGTATTTTGCATATTCAGGTTCTTTCCAATAAAGTAAATATTTCAGATAATTTACAAAAGCTTTATCTTTGAAGTAGCCTCTTTGTGCAAGAACTGAAATAAAATGACAAATAAGGAATTGACAGTTACAGATGGGTGTAAAATACCAGCACACTTGAAAAAAATCACACAGTCAAAACTTTCTCATTACAATCAAATTTTGATAATTTATATTTGGCAAATTAAAAACCACAAAGCAATATAAGATCTTTATGTCAACAAAATAATAGATTGGTCTCATCTCCCTTACAGTTTGCATCTTTCATTGAATGGAACAGCTTTTTGAAACAAGAAAATTTGACTGCAGCATCAAAATTAGCAATGAGTTATGTATAGTACCTAAAACTATTCACATTAGTAAAATTCTGTTTTCAGATAAAGGAATACTTGACATTACTTTTAAATAATAGACTGGAACTTGTTATTTTCTTCTTTACAGACTACTTTTATGCTGTGAAAAACCCTTTTATTTGTTTAGCTATCTCTCAAATTACCAGTACAAATAAACACTAATACACTATGTTAACTCGTCTGGGTCCAGGTATTTATTTAAGTACTCACAGTTGAGGTAATTTGGATTTGCCAGACATTGAACAAACTCCAGCTCCAACTGGAATCGAAGTCGATTTCCTGTATCATCTGATTAAAGAAAAAAAACAGTAAGAACCACACAATAGATTGAAAGTAATCCCAGTCGCTGTGCCACCTGGGAGCAAAGCGGGCCGGGGTGGGCGAAGGGCAGCGAACGGCCCGGTACGCGGGCCGGCCCGGCCAGGGCAAGCACGGGAGGGGCCTGCGGGGCCCCGGGCTGCAAAGGGCCCCAGTGCCGGGCGGCGCCTCTCGGCCTGCGCGGTCCCGTCACACCCGCCGCTCTGGGGGCCTGGGCAGCTCCGGCGGCGGCCCCATGGGCCCCGCACCGGCCCCCGCACGGGCCCCGCCGGCTCCCGCACCGGCTCCCGCACCGGCTTCCGCACGCTCCACGCACCCGCGTCCATGTCTGGGGCGCGCACACCCACACAAGCACGCCTCCTGCTGACAGCCCGGCGAAACGCAACGCTAAGCACTCTGGGAACTCAGCGGCTGTTGCCTAGCAACGGCGGCGGAGGCGGGGCGCGAGGGGGCGGGACGGAGGCGGGGCGCGGCGGAGGCGGGGCGCGGCGCGGGCCTCGATGGTCTCTAGCGCCCAGCTTCGGTCATCCGCTGGAGGGGCTGTTCGTTCCCGTTGCCGTTCCCGTTGCAGTTCCCGTTCCCAGCCGTGTCCTTCGCAGTCGTCCCGGGACACTGACACGGCGCCCCTTGCACACGTGCGGGTCATTTTACGGGCTGGGTGTGCGCGCACTGCCCGGAGCGCTTCCCTCATGCCTGGCCCGCAGAGCAGCCGGCAAACACTGCGGTGTCGGGAGCTAAGCACGGCTGACACCATCCCCTCACTTCTCGAAAAGGGTCTGTACAAATTCCTTCCTTCTCACCGCGCTCTGCTGCAGCTCCCGGCAAACCCCAAAGAACTCAGAAATCATTAAATACAAACCAGTGTATTTTTAAACGAGCAGCATTCTGTTTTACATCAGTCGCTTTGTCCGGCGGCTGCCTCCGGCCCTGCAGAATTTCCCCATCGGAGGGGAGAAAAGCCCGGTCACACAAAAGCCCTGGTGCTTCTTGTGCCAGGGGGTCCAGTGCAAGCTCAGAGTGACATTCCTGCGACACCAGCCCCTACGACTCCTCCCGAACGTGAGCATTCCTTCTGGCAATGAGCACTGGAGCACGGGTACCACGGAGGCCAGGCAGCCCCAGAGCCATTAGAATTTGGCTTTGGGGTCAGTGATCGAGGCATGCTTTTCCTGCACATAACCCTTGAGCTGGGAAGGACAAAAGGAGGATGAAATTTTGTTTGTATTTGCAGAACATTCATTTTAGCTTTTTACTAGACAAAGCCACTGTTCATCACTTCCAGAGCAAAAGGAAGTGGAGGGAACAAACCCTAAAATACTAAACTGTATTTAAACTTTAATGGTAAATATTGGATATTGGACAGGTTTTGTTTTGCAGGTTTGCAGGTTTGTTTTGCATAGTGACTTTGGAGCTTTGCAGGTTTGTTTTGCATAGTGACTTTACAGTCAGCCAAGGAGATTTCTGTCAACCTCTAACCTTAATTCTTCATTAATTAAAACACAGTAGTCTCAGAGTAAAACCATTGATATGCAAATGCTCCATGAGTTAGCAACAGCAGTGGAAGCAATCTCTACAGACTTACCTGAAATCCTTCAAATTTCTTCCTTTATTTGTTGTTCAATCATTTTCGATTTTCATTTGTTGAAGTATTTTTGGCATTCAACATAGCAATTTTCTATAATACTATATTTTCCTACGCAGTATGAATTTTTCACTGGGAATTGCATTACAAAAACCATATAAAAAGGATCCGTGCATAGTTTTTTCTTAATAAAAAAAGGGTTGCTTTCTTAAGCAACATTTTAGTGGTTGTGAAATACTACTATTACTATATCAAAACATAACAAGCCACTCCCCAGTAAACACAGACTTTGAGCTAAAAGAAGAGATCAAATAGATCCCACGTGTCTGCATTGCTATTCTAGAACAGGATTTCTCTCCCAAGAGTGACTTCAGAGGAGAGAACTCTAAAAAAGGATTGGTCACAAAAATAAATTACTATGTATGGTTGCCCAAGTTAAGTCAAACATCTCAATTGTTGTCCATCAAAATTAGGAATAAAATTGAAAATCAGGATTTTAGTGTATGAGATTTTATAGTATAAAGGATTTTATACATGAGAACCTTCCCTAAGAAAAGTTTGATTTTTGTTGTTTTGTTTTTAAATGTCGGGTGACTTGCAGGACATGTGTTAATATAAATGTGAGCCAGAAATTTGTCTTATTGTCATAGAACCAGGATGACATTGCTGCATCAGTTTCTCCTTTCATAGAGACTAGACTGCTGTCACTGCTGTCATTGCTGTTGCCCAGAAATGTCATGGTTTAGGACAGTAAGTTTTTATCTTAACTCATTAGACCTGGCATAGAGACACAGCTCTTAAATGGAGCCACTTCGGAAGCCACCAAGGTTTTATGGGACACAAGAGAAAATAAAGTCTCATCTGGCATGCTGTTGAATCTTGAAGGTAAACACTGAGGAAGAGAAATGCTGCAAAAGATTCCTCTGTGACACCATAGTGCAGTGCATTTGCACCAGAGAGAAAAAAGGTCCAGCAATTTCATCACTGAAAACTGATCAAGTGAGATGAAACAGGGACGTGTTTCACACCAGTGCATGAAACCCAAGACATCCCCTCTTGTTCACCCCCGTTTGCCCACTGCTTTGGAACAGAATGCAAACTGATACTAACATGGACATCTGACAGGATTTTTACCCATAGAATGCAAGACAGCTCCTGTAGACTGGAGAGCATCCTGCTTTAAATATGGTTAAATAACAGAGAGCAGAGTACGCATTATGTTATATATATCACAAGCCAGCACAAAGTCTGCAATTTTTTTCCTCCAATGCTATAATTGTAATTCAATAGAAACAAAATCATAGTTTTCAGCAACTAAAACAATTGTCAGAACATATTTAATTAAAGGCTTAACTCTTCACAAAGTTTTCTTTTTTGAGGTCAAGAAACTGGCAGGTAATGCACATTTCAGAAGGCAGCCAATACCAGTCATGGTGGAACCATTTCATCTGCAGATGCTAAATACCATTCAAGCAAGCTGCAAATTGGATGAAACGGTGTAAAAAGACTGGTGTATTGAAGGCACTGGCACATGTTCTTCTGTGACTGTGGTACTCCTCCAGCTTCAGACAAACACTAGAATTCAAAGATAAATTCAAGATTAAATGTCATGTGCCAGAAAGCATTTTATGTTTTTCTTTAATAAGTTGGTTAAAAGTATCTCAGGGCTTCTATTAGGACACCTGGACAGCTGGTGAATTTGAAGTCCGCCATTTGCCAGGAGCAATATACATTCCTATGTTTCCGATTTCTGACTGTATAGCCAAGGCAAAATATTGAAGTAAAATAGAAATTTCCTCCATAATAATAATTCCTTAATTGAAAGGTTGTATTAACTTTGTTTCTGGTGAAAATCTGATCTTCAGCTGGGTTTCTAAAATATTTGCAAAGACCCAACGCAAGTTATTGTTCTCAAAGAATATCTCACAAAGAAAATTACAATAAATTAGATTTAGTATCTGGAACATTCAGTTCTTTCAAGAAAATGGTTTGTCTATAAAAAAAAGTTTTATGAACATTTTAATGAGGCTCACACTGAGGCGTGAAACAGCTTATGAAAACTCATGGAAGTGCCATGTGCCAAATAAGACTGGGAAAAAATTTTGTGTGCGCAAATAAAGCACTGAAGTAAACTGGGGAAGGAAAACATCTTTTCTCTGACAGAAGAAACAGTCTCTTTCTTATGGCCAGAATCTACAGTAAATGTAAATCTACATTTACACCATAATAAATGGGCAACTATTGACTAAGTGCTCTAGAAAAACCTAAATGGGCAAAAATAGCTTCAGTACAGTCAGCTCTATTTTTAAAGAACTAGAAAGCTAATATTAAGCAGTCTCCAATCACCTGAGGGCAGCATGGCATGCCTGCCTTTCCTCTGTGCCCCCAAAGGTAAGGGCTGTGCTTCCCTCAGAGTTTCTGCCAAGCAGAGGCAGTCTGCAGTGCATGGCAAGCCCTCTCTGTGCCACAGACCTTCACTCGGGCCAGCAAAGATACACGGAGGGGAAGGTCTGATCTGACACTAAGAGCTGCCACTGGCATGGTTCTTCTGGGCAGAGGAGAACCATTAAACCACATTAACCTGCCATTAAACCACACAGACAAATGCTCAGCCTGTCTTGCAGCAGAGTGGTGGCTTTGTGGTGCAAGGCCAGAAGTGCTGAAAACCTCTCCATGACACAAAGAGATTGATCAGACTTGTCCAAAGGCACACATCTATTTCCCCCCACTGGAAAACATTGTGAAAACTCTGCCAGTTGATCCAAGGGCTCAGGATTCATTCATTACCACCCCCTCTTCACATTTTTAGCACAGACACCTGGGGGGGAAAAAAGATGTGAAGTATGTAACAATGTATACAATATGTAACTACTGAAAAGGAAGAGGTGGTACGCCAAGGAACCACTGCTGCATTTTGGCTAGGTCTGACTCAGTGATCTGTTTCTTTTTCTGGACTGATTTTCACCAACTGTCCAATTCCAACTTTGTCAGCAAATGCTGCGTTTGGCTACAACCAGGTTATTGCTATTTCAAGTGGCAACACACCTGAGCTGGAAAAGAAAGGCTGAATAAGCCAAACACTGAGTTCAAGTGAGAACAGAACTCAGCTGGAATGCAGTACTCGCTGCTCTGAACTCAGAGGATGACGCCAACAAATCCGAACCACTCTTCAGATTGGGGACTTCTGATCATATAGAGAATGCTGAAAGGTTTTTCTTCTCTGTTTCACAGATCTAGATGTTCAACGCACGGGCAGGAAACACCTTTGTTCTCCCTTTGTATATTTTCTTGTCGTTTGGTAGTTCATGAACTCATTCACAGTTGTGAGACCATTCCCAAGCACTAGTACATTGTGGGAACAAGCTTGCACACTGGTACATGACCAAGCAGCAGCAACAGCAGCCCAGATCACAATGCTGCAGGTTTAAGACCCTCAATAATTGCAGAAACAGCATTAGCAACTTGATATTTTGGTAAACTGGTATTTTGAGAGAAGAGAGGAAAAGCCAAGGATCCACAGAAAGTGGGCAGAAAACGAGAAAGCTTTAATTTAGCTCCTTAGAGGTGGCACTGCCAGCTGGCCAGCTGACAGACTCACCGACCACAAGGAATCACATTCTGCCCTCGGATGGTAAATCGGGAACTGTTTGCTCACTCAGGGTGGCTGAATAGCTCACCCTGACAAAGCCCACACTGAGGATCCTCCCAGGTTTTTTGTGGGTGCTGGGGGTGCACGTTTGAAAGCGGGGCGCAAACAGATTCTTTTATGCCACTACCTTAGCAGCATCACAACTTCTGCACCTAAAACAATATTCCTTTGATGAGCAACAAAACAATTG